CTCATAGGTTGACGGAGATGAAAAAGTGTGATTGTGCTCAGTGTAGGGGTGAGTGTGGTGCAACTGGCCTTTGCACGCATTGCTCCTGGAAGTGTAAGTTGGTGCCTCCCTTTTAAAGCGCGATTATAGTCTGTTTTCATTTTTATAATGTGCTTAACTTGACAACCCAACAATTCCAGGTTCTAGAAATACATTCCTACACATAAAAGAGAAGGACGCCTGGGTGGTTCAGTCGGTTAAGCGTCCGACTTTGGCTCAGGTCATGATCTCACAGTCTGTGAGTTCGAGACCCGTGTCAGGCTCTGTGCTGACAGCTCAGAGCCTGGAGCCTGCTTCAGATTCTGTGTACCCTCCCCCTCTGCCCCCTCCCCCGCTCACACTGTGTCTCTGTCTCTCTCTCAAAAATAAACATTAAAACAATTTTTTTTGAAAGAGAAATATGTACAAGGGTATTCACTGCCATGGGCTTTGTAATAGTAAGTAACTAGAAATAATGTCAATTACAAGGGAAAATTGACAAAATAAATTGTGCTACCTCTGCCTCTTGGGCCACTGCGCAGCCTTTAAAAGAGTGGGGTACATTCACGTGTGTGCGCACAGAGCTGTGAAAAATCCTTGTGCTGGATAATGAAGGGAGAAACCACAGTGCCGAACAATGTGCACTCCCACGTGTGGAGAAAAAGACGGATCTGAATGTGCGTTTGCTTGTCTACACAGAACCATTCTGGAAGGTTCCCTAATGGAATTGGCACACGTTTAATGGATTTTCACCACGTGTAGGATGCTTTCATGGAAAATGCGATGCGCCTAGCAAACCTGTAGAGTAAGAGTGAATTTCCTACCTGTTTGACAGATGAGAACACTGAGGTTGAGAGAGATGGGGTCACACGGCAAGGAAGCAGAGCCAGGCAGGAGTAGGGTGTGGGCGAGGCAGGCTGGCCCAGCATGCGCTAACTTCTTATTTACCTCTGCAACACTGGTAACAATGCAAGGGCAAGTGAGAGATTCAAACCGGGGCAGGCTGATGAGATGCTTTCAGTAAATGATGCCAAGGTGCCAGACGTCGCCATGTTCCTGTCTGGGCAGCTCTGATGATATGCAGACAATAAGCTCTTTATCACACCCCAGCCAAGGAGAGGGACGTGATCCTTTCGAACAGCCTGACACAATTAGTGAGGGAGTTCCATTTTCCTCTCTGAGCGAAGAAGAGAACAATAATAGATCCCGATTCAAGACCGCTCATCCTTATCTGTAATGAGGGCAGACAGACAGACAAAACCACTGCGTATCTTTTGAAAGAAGGGAGAACGGATTAGCAGTGAGTCCTCCTATAGGAGCTGGAAGAGGCTACCAGATGCCTTTTTTTTTCTCTCCCTCTCTCTGCCTGGTTGGAAGAGGCAGTGGGGGCCTGTTGCCACTCCTTCGACCATTTAAGCCAATGGCTATGAACACTTTGAAGTATTTTATAATTACAAGGGCTCAGGATGACAAATACATCTGAGGCTAGACTGGCTTAATGATGGGGGTACAAAGCCATGCCATCTGAGAGACTGGGAGTCAAGTGAGAGGTGGGTTCAGCCGAACCCCACCAGAGGCAGGTCAAGGAGTAAGGGGACTGGAGGCTGTCCCCAGCAAGGTCAGGACATCTGGATGAAACGGAGGGGGCATGGAAGAATGGTTGGATTTCATTTTTACCAGCAAATACTACGTCTTTTCTTTGTCTTCTGTGTCTCTTTTCTTCAGTTGAGCCTTCTGAAAAGAATTTATTAATTTTTTATTTTATTGTTGAGAGAGAGAGAGAGACAGAGTGCAAGCAGGGGAGAGGCAGAGAGAGAGAGGGAGACACAGAATCCGAAGCAGGTTCCAGGTCGATCTGAACACCACAGAGCTGAGTTGATGCAGGCTCTAACTCAGGCATTGATCTGTGATCTAGTTTGACCTAGCTGAATGACATTTAACCATCTGACCACCAGCGCTCAAGAATCAATTAAATTAAAAGAAAATGGGGCACCTGGGTGGCGAGCTCGGTTAAGCGTCCGACTTCAGCCAGGTCACGATCAGGTCATGAGTTCGAGCCCCGCGTCAGGCTCTGGGCTGATGGCTCAGAGCCTGGAGCTGTTTCCGATTCTGTGTCTCCCTCTCTCTCTGCCCCTCCCCTGTTCATGCTCTGTCTCTCTCTATCCCAGAAATAAATAAACGTTGAAAAAAAAGAAAATTAAAAAAAAAAAAGAAAATGTACCACAAAAACCTTGGGGGTGGGGGAGGAAGGACAAAGAAACACTCACTAACAATGAGATTTTCTAGCAACGTTTCTATCGATATTTACTCAGCTAATTGTCTAGTGTTGACATAAGCACCCCACCCTTGGAAGGCTCCTGACTTTTGAAAGTTGCCCCACCAGTTGCAATCAGGTGGTCAGAGCCGCCGCCCCCAAATTCCTTCTTGGAATGAGCCAGGCTTTCTCTTCTCATCGCCTCGTTGTCATTTAATGTATAGCATCAAGTAGTAGCCTCAGCAGAAGCTTGGTTGTTGTGAAACCTCCACATGTCAGGTGGAGCTAGAGCTGGTCCCCACGGTGGAGATCCCTACCGTCTGGCCAAATCGTAGAAAGTCCTCCCCCTGTCTAGGCAGCTGGCCTTCCCGACAACGAGTGGAGTGTATCAAGGTATTGGGGAGCCGGGGGCTCACAGCTTAGCCACCCACAGCATCACTGACTGTGAACCAGCTCTGGAAGGAAACATGAGGTGTCATGAGATCAGCAGTGCTCCAAGTGTGGGTCGCAGAATCTGAGAGCCTACTAGGAATGCAGGTTCCCGGGCCCGCCCCGGACCTACCGACTGAAGCCTGCTGGGCGGGGCCCTGCAACCTGTGGTGTAAGAAGCTCCGCAGGTGATTCTGGTTCGGGCTTAACGTGGAGAACCAGTTGAAAGTGGGCACAGCCTCTGCCATTCACTGCGCTCCGGGAAGGGGGCTTGTCCCGAGGCTCCTTCCGCATCCCCCATGTAGGAGGTAGAGCCTGCCTGCTGGCAGCCCCCCCCCCTCCCCACCAGAGTAGCGGATGGCTTCAGAGAGGGCTTTCTGCTGCGGCGAGCCCCGTCCGTCTCATTTTCCTGATGGTTTTCTCTCTCCCCAGTCGTTTGGGTTTGCCTTGTTGGCCTGTTCAAATTATCACTGGCAGCAGAGTTTCCTGCAGGCTGAGCAGGTACTGCTAGACCAGCTGGATGAGGACGGGGGCTGCCGCAGGAAGTGCTTCCAGGCCCTGAGGCAGATGAAGGAGGACGTCTGGTGTCCGGGAAAGAGGCCTGTCATCACGTCCCACCATCTGCAGGTGAGTGGGCACACACGAATTTGGGCGGGTCCTCTCTGTATGCCCTGCAGGGCCCGGCCGGAGCCACTCACGACAGGTGTGGGTGTGTGTGTGTGTGTGCATGCGACGAATTCAGGAGAAGACCCTAGTGTCCATGGTTGCCATCCCAAAGTTACTGCTCACTACCGAGATGTGTAAACCCGGGCTGTATGTGTGCCCGCCGCAGCCCTGCCCAGGCTGAATGGCCTCCGCCTCCTCCCTGCCCTCCCCTTCTTGCCCTCTTTCCTTTTCTTGCTTTTTGCCCTTTCCAGATTTTCTTCTCTCTCCATCTCTCCCCTCAACTTATTTCACGCAACAAACCAGCGCGATGCGCCAGAAACTTGGCTGGGGTTCAGCATTGATTTACTCAAAGCCTCCGCCTTTAAGAAACCCACGGTCTGATGAAGTCTTGCAAATTGCTTGAACCTCAGATGGATTCGAGGTTTCCCTGGTGTGAGGACTCCCTCAGTCCCCACAGGTGTGGCCACCAGTGCTCCGATGCCCGCCGCGCAGAGGAGGATCCGGGAAATGGTGAGGTTGCCACGTGAGCATTGCCACAGACCCAACTGCCAGGTTCCAAATCAGCCGGCAGGGGTTTCCCTAAACCCTACGGCACCTGCCTCCCCTCGCCCCCAAACCCAACATTCATGAATGCCCTTCCTCGCTCACCCAGCAAATGTTTATTGAGGTTACTATGGGCCACACCTGCCCCAGCACCTGCTGTGTGCTCCACAAGCACAAGATGAGCAAACACAGAAGCGGTTCCTGCTCCCATGGAGCCTATGGTTTAGCGGGGCAGACAGACATTTGTCAGATGGTCCTCCAGGTGCATGTGGCCTCACACAGCACGGGGAGCACCAGAGAGGACGGGAGCATCATTCCGTGAGGGCTCAGAGCAGCAGAGCCTGACCTGGGCTGCGAGATCGGGGCTGGTGGAGGGGGGGGGGTCCCCCTGGGGAGGTGACTTTCACACTCTCAGCTCCTCTTTTGCAAATTTCCAACCATACACCGTGAACTGGACGTTCATGGAACAGGCTGTGTGGCACACTGAGGTTGGGAGAAGGCAGACTTAGAGACAGCACAGCCCGAGCCTAGCTAGCGTCTGTCCGGGAGCTTTGTCCGTTCTCCCTGCCCTTCGACAAGGTGAGCACAGGTCCTGTGTGTGTGTCTTCCTTGCACGCTCCTGCTGTGCCCCTTGGCATTCAGTGGACATCCATCTTCTGCCCCTGTGTTGGGGTCAGAGCTTCTGACCCCAGCTCCAATGTAAGCTATTTAAGGGCAACTACTAACGAGCCCTTAGGATCTCTCCCAATGTTGTGTACCTAGTAGTTGCTCAGTAAATACTTGTTGAGCGAATGAATGAATGCCTTCACATTCTACTGAGCTTCCCCCACCCCCCGCCATGAAATCAGTAGTCTTTGCTTTGCTTTTGTATCTTCCCTAATAACCTGTCCCTCTTGACCTGCCCAAGAATCTGTTAATATCTCATTTGCACATAGCTGTGCCTCTCTCTGGAATCTCAACATTCTCAACACCGAGCACATTCCCCTAAAAACACTCACCTGTATTCCTGGATTGAGGACATGTGCTTCCTGAAGGTAGTCTAGTTCATTCTGCTGGTTTAGCTTCTTTCCTCCTGGCCTTTCTACAGGCCACACTAGCAAGAGCCAGAGCTGAGCTGCAAACTCCATTCTATCTCCTATTGAAGCTCCTAATCTTAACCACTGACTTCATTGCCTCACAATGAAGATGGATGGAAACACATTAAGTGACATGAATAATTTAGACGAGATTGAATAGGGCCACCACAGGCCTCCCGGCCCTTGACTGCGGTCAAAACTGCATTACATGCGAAGATTTACTTTTATTCCAGTGGCTTCTCAGTCACTAGAGGATTTTAGGGCAACTCCTTAAAGGTGCTCTGTTTCAGTTCTCCCGAGCTCACCTCCAAGGCACAGGATTGTGCCCTCTCAAGAACGGGCATTGTAAAGGGGGGTTATTTGTTGAGAAGGGCAGGAAGGGCAAAAACAGTCCTAACTGCCTGTTCTTCTAGTCTCCCACTGTGGCCCAAGGGCAGGATGCCCTCACATTTAGACATTGGGATGGGCGTGGCTGGTGACCGTGTGCTGTTAGACACCATCCAGATGATGGCTTGAGTGGGCGGGATCGTTGCCAAGCCTTCAGCCTGGGGAAAACAGAAGAGACTGGTTGCAAAACAGCATCAGGAAGGTCGTGCCACTTATTGTCACCCCACCTTCAGCCTAACACTGTCTGATGAGTTTCTCACCTCCCCAAAGTGGCTCTTTCCCGAGCAACTCCAGGTGAACAAGAGCTTATCCTTCTTTGGCTTATTTGCTCCTAAAACCCACTCAAAGGCACAGGGGCTTGATTATAAGAGGCTTAACTGTTTTGGTTTGTTTAGGGAGATAAATGCTTAACTACAAGAGGCATGAAAACACTTTTTTGTATCTAGGTTATCTTTTTTTTTAATGTTTCTTTATTTTTGAGAGAGAGACAGAGTTGCAAGCTGGGGAGGGGCAGAGAGAGAGCGAGAGGAGACACAGAATCCGAAGCAGGCTCCAGGCTCTGAGCTGTCAGCACAGAGCCCGATGTGGGGCTCAAACTCATGAACTGCGAGACGATGCCCTGAGCCAAAGTCGGATGCTTAATCGACTGAGCCGCCCAGGTGCCCCAGACTATTCTGTATCTAGGTTATCTTGACTAGCATGATATCCTCTCCGACTCGTTTACTTTGCACGATGTGCTCTAAATCAAAACATACTCAGTGTCTTGCCGTGAACCCAAAACTGCTCTTTTCTTTCTTAGTCAAGGCTGTATTTTAAAAATGCTCAACATCTAAATCATAACATTGCTTATTTCACTTAGTCAATAAGCGTTTATTGACTGCCTCCCATGGGCCAGCTCCTCTGCTGGGTGCTAGTGATGTAACAGCAATTAAAATAGGTATCGCTCTCTTCTTTGATGGAGTTTACAATCTAGCAGGGAATCACATTAATGAATACAGAGACGGCTACTCCTGTGATCACTAGTGCTTATGGGAAGTGCGGGACGAAAAGAGTGTTTAATGGTATCGCAGGGAAATTTGATCTGACAGGTGAGTTTCCCGGACATACTGGGGAAGGAAGTGTGCTCCACACAGAAGTCAGATATGAAAGAAGTCACCCTGTGGTGGAAGAGGGGGGCCAGTGGGGCTGGAAGGAGAGAACAAGGGAGGACGAGGGTAAGATGAGGCTGGAAAGGAAGGTAGGGAGCAAACCTCGCAAACCAAACCATGTTAAGGATTGTGGTTTTTCATTGACCGATGGTGGGAAGTCTTTAAAGTGTTTCTTTTTTGTTGCTTATTTATTGCGAGGGGGGGAGAGAGAGAGAGTGCATGTGCATGCTAGCAGGGGAGAGGCAGAGAGAATCCCAAGCAGGCCTCACACTGTCCATGCAGAGCCTGATGTGGGGCTCGAACTCCTGAGCCATGAGGTCATGACCTGAGCCTGAATCGAGAGTTACACACTTAACCAACTGAGCCACCCAGGCGGCCCTAAAGTATTTCAGACACGAAGAAACATAGATTTATACTCAAAAAGATCACGTTGGCCACAGCGTGGTGGTGACAGACTGGGGACAAGAATAGGGGCAGAGGCCCAGGTGAGATGGGAGAGGAAGAAAACAGTGGAGATGAACATACACGGTAGATGAGAGAAACACTTTGGAGGCACTGGCAGAACTTGATGAGGGTGGTGAGGGAGGGGTGACTCCCGGGTTGAGTCTTGCCTGACTGGCTGGATAAGGAAGTCTGGAAACACACCAGGTTTGTGGGGAGAAGGGTCGTGAGTCCGGCTGGGACATGTTGGTGGCGATAACTTTCAGATTCCCAAGAGATACCAGGAGAGGAGGTCAGAGAAGTCTGGTCTGGGAAGAGAAATTGTGAGTGACCTCTATTTGTTCGGTGGGGATTCTAGCTGCTGAGGAAGGAAGGAAAAGAGACCAAGAGAAAAAGAGGGTATGGAACGGAGCCTCCAAAACTCCATCACTGGGAAGTAGAGAAAGCAGATAGCGTGCCAAGGGGTAGCTGTGGTGCCTGGAGAAACCCAGAGAGCCCAGAAGCTTGGCAACCCAGTGAGAGAGAACCCCATTGAGAAGCCCCAGTGAGAGAACCTCATTCTGCTGGGCAAGGCCTGTTGGACTTGGACTTAGCAACATGGAGACCACGGGCCCTGAGGACCGATGGCGGAAAAATCCATATTGCAGTGGATCGAGATGGCAGTCAGCGGAGAGGAAATGACGACAGATAATTGAGAGGATTCTTTTGAGAAGCCTTCACTTGCCAAGATGTGAGGGGTTAGGAGGCAGACGTGGCCCTGGGGCAAGGAGTGGGGGAGGAGAGTTTAGAATAATTTCAAGAGCCAGCAGAGGAAGGGCAAGGGCAGGAAAGAGCGAAGTCAGTCGCAGACAGCTCCCAGAAGGAGAGATCCCAAGCCCTGTTTGGGGGTTCTCCTGGCCAGGGGGGTGGTCAAAGCAGAGAGCGAGAGAGGAAGATGTGCATGTAGGCGGACTGTTTTGCTGCTGTGAGGGTTTCCATCTTCCTTGAAAAGTAGTAGGCAAAGGCATCCGCCAGGAGTGGGGAAATTGCAGATCTAAGGAGAGTGGTGGTAACTGGGGATACCGGTGGCGAGAGAAACAATGATCAAAGAGGCGCAGGAGACCTGCAGGGCGAGGCCGAGAACCCACCCGAGGGTGGGGATCGTGAAATCATGGCGGAACCAACTTGTCCTGGGTGACTGACTCCCTTCTCCCTCCTTCCACGGCCGCGTGAGCCCGGTACCATTTCCGAAGACTTTCTCCTCCATTGCCCGGAACGATGTCTGACACCACCTCTTCCTTCCGTAGACGGTGCTCTTTTGGACTTGTGAGAAATACCCCCACCCGAAGGAGTGGCAGGTGTTCAGCAAAGCGTTCCTGCGCCTGGTGAGGAAGCTGCACAAGTGTGTGAGCCAGCACTTTCTGAAGCACTATTTCGTGCGCAAGAGCAACCTGCTCCAGCATGCCAGCTCGGGCGAACTGGACACCGTGGCCCAGAAGCTGGCTCTCTTCCTGAAGAACCCCCAGATCGGCCTGCCCTGACGCTGCCCCTGCCTGGGAGGCTCTTGGACGCTTTATCCTGGCTCGACCTCGTTCCCTGGAGGATCCTGCTCAGGAGAGAAGCAACGTGTGGCACAGGAGATGACATTGACCCACTAGCACTTAAGGGGGGAACACTGTACCCCAAGATGTCCAATCTCAGCTTCCCTAGAGCCAAGCAAGCATTTCAGCCCTCACGAGCTACCTCTCTCGGGGACAAGCTGTCATCAGCCTTCCCCAAGCCATCGATTCCGAGCTGATGACAGCACTGGATGTGTTCTCCTCGCTCGGGCTCTGAGTGTCTGCTGGGGAGGATGGAGACAAGAACCCCTGGGGGGCCAGGCATCGGCCTGCGGCCCAGGACTGGTGCTCCAGCCCACTGACGGTGGGCTTGTTACCTTTCCACTCGCAAATGCAGCTGTGAATGTACCTTTCTGAGCCTGCGGGACTATGCTGGTGCCCTTACTAGAGGAGGGCACTGGGTCAACACAAAGTGTTAGTCATTGGTTGGTAGCCGGCGTTTGCCTGCTGGATCGGCACCAACACCGCTGACGGGGTGATTGTGTCTGATCGGTGGGCACGCGTGCCCTGGCCTTCCTGCCCTCAGTTCTCCTGAACCGTACTTTGGGTCGTGTGGTTCTAGCTGCTTCCCTGGTGTTCTCTAAGAGGGGAGAGGGTGATTTTGATGGCCAGTGCCGGCCAGAGGTGAAAGTTCAGCCCTGCTTGCCAGTCTGCTCCGGCCATTCCCCTTTTCTTGTGCCCGATGTTTTATATTCTTGGAATGGGCCCAGGATGATGACCTCCAAGAAATGGCTTGGTGTCACCCACCTCTCAATACCTGCCTTTGCTCACCTCATTTGCTCACTCATTCATGGGTAGATACATGCTCATTAGGCACTGGGAGTAGAGCGAGGAGCCAAATGGACAAAGGATGTACCCGTTGGGGGACGGCACCTAATGTCAAAGACAGGAAGTGCACAACAGATAAATAAACACGATTATTACAAATGGTAGCAAGTGCCCTGAAGGAAACAAACAGAATATTGAAATAGAGCCATAGAGAGCTCCTCGAAGGATGAAAATGCAAACAGCTGAAGGGGAAGGGAAGCGGGGGGGCAGGGGCAGGCTAGGAGGGGCTGGAATGGGTCAGATCACTGAACCTTATAAAGCTGGCAAGGAATCTGTATTTTATTCTAAAATCAAAGGCATGACAGTTGGCCTTTCCCAGAGCAGTAGGGTATGGTGATATGATTTGCATTTTGTTTGTTTATTTATGACTTGGATTTTAAATGACCAGTCCAGTGACTGTATAAAGGGGGCGTAGGGTCCCACACAAGAGTTGAGGCATTGAAGGCCAGTAAGCCCACCCATTTTGAATTTCACTGAGATCCACGGGGCCACACATCCCATGTGGCACAAAGAATGCTTGGGGAGGTCAATGCTTTCTTCTGGTACTTATTTATGCTTTTCAACTCAAGGGAATCCTTTATTACTCAGAACATTTCCCCCACTGAAATTTCTAAAAGCATGAACAACTGAGTTTTTTTAAAAAAAAAGTCACATTGGAAAGTGAAATATTTTTACAAAAATACTCTAACCAAATGGTGGGTTCCCTGGGCTATCACATAGGAAATCATGATTTTAAACTGTTGGGGGAAAAAAAAATCCTTTCAAAGATATGATGAGTTGATAATTTTTCAAAATGTGAAATAATGAGCAAGCCAATGTTTTGTTAAGTCATCAGAACTTGCATTCAAAGACCCATACTCTTGGGCCTTGGGACACATCATTTCTGAGAAGGTGGCAGATAATAACTTTTTTTTTAATGATGAAAACAAGTGAAGCAAGTTTTAAGCGAGCTGTATAATGCCAAGTAGTGGAAGTTGGCTGGACCACTGATTGGAAATGTGCACGTGGAGAGGAGTGGGACTGACATACTCCACAGTCTGATCCAGTAGGCTCTTCCCACCTCCCGGTATCTGTCTGTGGTCTTCGTAGGAAGCAGGGCGATCTGCGGACTCCCGACTGTTCCTCTGCTGGGCAGCAGAGGACAGTAGAGGACCGCATTTGGGAAGAGCCTCTTTCCCGCACATACCCCTCAGAGCCCAGTGGGTGGCACCCTCCTCAGCCTGGGACTTAAATCTGGCTTCTGGGAGAAGGGTGGCCAGCCATCACAGTCGTTCTGCTTAAGGCTCAGGCTTTCAAAGGGAGCCTGGGAGAGAGTCGTCCCTCCTTTCTGTTTGTAGGCACAGAGCGCCTAGCTCTGAGAAGTCTGCTATTACTGATATTCTGATATGCTGATATATACATACTGATAAGTCTGATATTATTCTGGTCAAGTTTTGTTTGTTTGTTTGTTTGTTTTTATTCTCCAAAAGATTTTTCCTTTCATGTCCACTCTGGCCACAGGACTATTTTATACTGCAGTGGTTGGTATTCAGCCATTTAAGTGACCTGCTTGCCCTTGCATCTCGCTGGCACACAACTGCCCGTAATAAGTTGTTCACCCCTCTCTGTATCTCCATTTTTTTATGGGCGTGGTTATGGGCTGGATTGTGTCCCCCCCCACACGCATAAAATTCACGTACGGAAGCTCTCACCCCCAGTGCCTCAGAATGTGTCTGTATTTGGAGGTGGGGCCTTTAAAGAGGTGGTCAAGGGGCGCCTGGGTGGCTCAGTTGGTTGAACGTCCGATTTCGGCTCAGGTCACCATCTCACGGTTCACAAGTTCTACCCCCGCATCAGGCTTGGTGCTGACAGTGTGAAGACTGTTGTCTCTCTCTCTCTCCGCCCCTCCCCTGCTCACACTCTGTCTCTGTCTCTCTCTCTCTCTCTCAAAAATAAATAAACATTAAAATTTTTAAAAGAGGTGACCAAGTTAAAATGAGGCCATTTGGGTGGGCCCTGGGCCATTAGGACTGATGTTCCTGTAAGAAGAGGAAGAGGCACTTGGGCAGGGGCACAAGGGAGGAAAGGCCACCCGCAAGCCAAGGAGCGGAGCCTCTGGAGAAGACAATGTCGCCAGCACCTTGATCTTGGGTTTCCATTCTCCAGAACCGTGAGAAAATCATTTCCTGTTGTTTCAGCTATGCAGCCTGTGGCATTTTGGTACGGCCACCCTGGGAAGGCAGTACAAGCACGACGACAGAGTATGTGCCTCACTGCCTTGGTGAGGGGAATAAACAGAATAAAGGACGTCAAAAGCTCGTTTAGTAATCTGGTGCGCCGTAGCTGTCGAATAAGCGCTTGGAGTCTTGGACAGCTACTCCCCAGGGCCGTGCCTCCACCGCTGCCTTTCTTGATAGCTCCCCCCCCGCCCCATGGAGACATCCTTCATCAAGAAATGACAAACCAGGGGCGCCTGGGTGGCGCAGTCGGTTAAGCGTCCGACTTCAGCCAGGTCACGATCTCGCGGTCCGTGAGTTC